GGGGGATACCATTGGGGGGGGGGGGGTCGGTGAACCGAGAACCGGGATCATATATACGAATAGTTGTCGATTGTGATTTGGAAAGGTGGGATTTGCAGCTTGCGTTGCAAAACGAACACATGATGAACACGTTCATAGATTGGGCCTGGGGGAACGCCCAAGGGGTAAGCTGCGAAGCTGGAAGAAGCTGTGAGACTGCCCGCCGTGTCAGGCCTCGAACGCGACGCATGCGTGAATCAGGTAAGGTATTCGCTCGAGAATATTGATGTTCAGGTAAGGCTTTCTATACAATGCAGGTTCAGGACTTTTTTCCAGCAATCTGCAGGCATGCGCAGGAAGTGATACACTGGTGCAGAGGTGGATATGCGATTCGCACTTGCTCAGGGACACTCTTGTGGGAAAACGAATATAGAAGGATTGGTTCTAGACGCAGAGGCCTTTTTGCTCTTGTGGAAGGTGTGTCCTGCAAAAGGCTCCGTAGAAGGGCGCGTGGAACGGCCAACATGCAGTGAACACGCCAACGATCGCCAACGCGTCGAGGCGCAGAAGGAGGTACTCGTTCTTGAACCAACAACCAAGAAGGCCGACGGAAAACAGTCGCACTCACACGACCACACGTGCAAGGAATCAGGAAAAGCATCTTGCATTCTGCGGCCGCAGAACAACGGCGAGCATCTGTGGTTTCCTGTACAATACTTGTACAATCAAACGTTGAGGTAAGGACTATTAAGGACTTGCCACATTACAGTCAGCAGTCATTGCCAGCTAACGTTCGAACAGGATCAATTACGAGGAAATGCAGGCATGACCAACCTACTTGCCGCACTATCGCCAGATGCTGTCCATCATAAGATGTAGATATATAAACACAAACAAGCAACACCAACCAAACCACACATATGTGCAAGTGTTCAAAAAGCATATGAAACTCGTAAGCGGTGTTGTGAATCTCTGTGCGATGCACGGAGCTGACTTTTCTGTCGATGCAGTCGCCGCAGTGAGTCCAAGTGTGGCCTTCAATGCAGCTGTTCAGCTGTGCACTACAACCTACTGGGTACTGTAGCACTATTCAGGCTTGCAGAAAGTCCACAGAGTCAGTGTTGACCCAGCTTAGCTTTCGTGACTCCGGGACCTGAGGGTTTTGCGAGGCACTGCCATGACTTGTGTAGAGTTCGCTCCCCGGGGGGTTTTTAATGCACTGCATTCCAAGGCCAAGCAAATGGAAGAAATCCGGCAGCAGGAGAGATGTCGAAACTAATTTGTGCAACCAGGGTGTGCCAGGAGAACAGCCTTAATGTTGGTTTCTTTGGGGCATGCGGTGATACCATAGATGGCATGTTGTAACTTGCACCCTGGAAGGAGCGCAAATTGAGATTGGCAGAAGAGGCGCCTTGGCAGAGACGCAAAGCATGTACTTGTGCTTTGGATGAAAAGTGCAATCATTTAATGCTTGCCGGTACAGCATGTCTTGCTATGCATCAGGAGAAAGACAAGCGGCTGCGAAGTTGCTCAGAGGAATCCGTTTTTGCCGAAGCAATTATTTCATGCACAACATGTGGCGAACTAGGATCAGGTTTTGTGTCACTTGTTCTCGCCATCATCGTGGTGTTGCAGTGGCCGGAGTGGCAGTGACGATGCCGATGCTTTTTAAAAGTAGGTGCTCCTTTTTTCCACATCGTGGCTTCCTCTGGTTGTGATGTGCTCCGTTGTCAAAAAGCGGGTTCGGCCTTGGAGTCCGTCCCTCCCCTCCTTTCAGTGTGTGGCGAGCACGGAACAGCCATCAGCTTCCGAGATTCTCACGTCCGGCGGGGTGGAGGATCCGATTGCCTTGGCGGACTCCCATGGCCTGGGAATTCATCCTCACGATTCATTTCCTTCAGCACCAATTCGATATCCCAAATGCTGTATCGACATACAGGTTCCGGGCTGCGGTTCTAAGGCCGAACTGCGAGTGCTGCGAGAGTCCCAGTGTAAGGCTTGATGTTCGCTCACACCATGTGTGCTTGATACACTCCGATTTCCGAGCAGCTTGCAAAAGTAAAAGGTCGTGCACAGTCTATTTCCGCCCAGTCGGGTCTTCGCATGAGAGACCGCAGAATCTGGATGCCGTTGCGAACTGCTGCTCCCTCGGTCGTTACGACTGTTGCTTGTAATTTCTCCTGCGGCTGCTGTTGCCTCGAAAAATTAAAATATGGTTTGGTTGCAGTTGGCTGTGGACATGGATAGGACTTGGAGTCGAGCTTGGTAGCTCTCAATATCTCCCGCGAGCAACAGGCCCGGGCCCCAGCTCGCAGCGCAGCGCGCAACGCATGCGACACCCATGTGAGCAGAGCCTGCAGGCCGCTTCTGCTCAAGCCGAAAGGTGCTGTACATCCGTATCTTCGCTGCAGCTAGCTTTGATTTTGCGGCACAGACAGTCTTCAATATCTGAGGTGCCGATGTGCAACCTGTGCTTGATGCGACGGTAACTGTCAAAAATGATTCTTATTCGGTACCAGAATATTCAATTTTTGAATATATAGAAATGATTCGTGAATTATATATCTCATCAAGGAATATAGATTCCAATATTTGGGATAATGCTCCGAGATCTTTTTTCTACTGAAGGCAGATATATTGATATTTTCAAATATTAGAAAAGATTCTGGAGTGATGGTAATAGATAAGAAATTATTGGATTTAAGAAAGGGTGCTCTGATAAATAATAACCATTGGATTTAGGATATTTTTAATTTCTTACTTCATTTATATTTATTATTATCTAGGGTTTAATAAAAATAAAGAGGTTGGAGCGATTATAAATCGCCTTTTAGAAGATGACGAGATTTAGATTATTGATTTTCTAGCGCATTTCTCTCTGGCTAATATAATGAATTTCTCTGTATAATAAAGATTGTAGACTCTTTTTAGATGATGTAGGAAATAAATAATCTAATCTCTTAGCTTTCTATTTCTTTTCTGGATTAGACCGAAAATTAAAGAAATTAGAAATTTAGTATCTCTTATTTCTTGGGTTTATGGTCCTGCCGAAAACTAAAGAAATAAGAAATACAACTCTTGAAATATCTTTTTTCTTATATTCTTTTTGATCCGACCGAAAATCGAAGAAATAAATACGTTAATTTCTGAAATTTCTTATTTCTTGGGTTTTTGGTGCGGCCGAAAATTAAAGAAATAATAAATTCAGTTATTGAAAGTTCTTATTTCTTGGGTTTTTGATATAAATCCTAAATCAAATTTTCAAGCTTCCACCCCATTGCCTTGGAATTTCGCCGATTTGTTGTAGGAATCCTAAACCTGTCCAAGCGAGCGGATATCAGATCTTCACTTCTATTACTTGCCTTCGGGCGAATTCCGAAACTCTCGCTGATTTGCTGCAGGTTTCAACCTGAAGCTTTAAATCCGGAATCTCTGAGCAGTTCAGAAATTAGATAAGAAATTGGGTTTCGGGGGTAAGGAGCTTGAATTTCTTATTTCCTTTTGTTTGTTTTTCGCGGATTTTAGTTTAGGTCCGCGCAAATTCAGGGGCTGGTTTCTTAATTCAAAATTTTCTTATTCAATCTTGGCATTATAATAGATTGATTTCAAATTGGATTAAATCGATCGAATATTTTTATATAAATAAAATAATGAAGAAATAATTATATAAAAAAATATTTTTAATATGAATTATTCTGATATAGATAGGAATTCAAGAATAATAAATAAAAATAGAAATCTTATTTAAATCAGAATATAAATAATATTCAATAAGATAATTAATGATTTTTATTTATATATTCATTCTTATTTAAATAAATAAATTTGAAGAATATTTTAATATATCTTTAATTAAGATTTGAAATAGAGAAAATATAATATTATTAATTAGGAGATTAAGAATATATCTAAATTATGATTATATTATTTAGATTATTTTAGCTATTTATTTCTATATATCGATAGATTCTAATAAATTAATGATCGATAATTTGAATATTTATGAATGGTCTTAATTAATTTTTTTTTTTCGAATATTAAAAATCATGGTTCGAATAAAAGAATCTAATCAAATAAGAAATCTATCTATGCAAAAGAAATTCTCAAGAAGAAATCGATTAAGAAAATCTAACTTATAGAGAAGTCTCAAATATAAATGAAAGATTCGATATCATTTGGAAATAGAATTCTTCTTATATATATAAATATTATTCTTAGTATAGATATTTAATATTCTAAAAAATAGATTTTAAAATTTATATAAGATATATAGAAAATAAATAAAAAAATGAATTCTTGAAAAATTGAATTTGATGATATTATAATAATATATATCAAAATAAGTTATTGAATATTTAGTATCATGAGCCTTGATTTCTTTGATCTTTTATGCGAGATTCTTCCGCCATTTCATATTCTTTTTCTAAAAAGATTATGAAAATATGTTTATAATATTATATATTTTAGAAAAATGCAAATCAAATTATATTCGATTTTAATTTCGATTATTTTGAGCGTATTTGGGATTTCATAAAATCTTTTCTAGAAATGAAATATTAATTTTATCTTTGGAGTATTTCAATACTAAATCTTATTTGAATATCAATTATATATAATAAGAAATATCTAAGATATATTATATATATTCTTATATATTTATAATATATTGAAAAAAAATATTTTAAAAATA